GAATGAAGGGAAAGAAGTAAGTGATGGATCCAGTCCTGGAATTACAGCCTGGATTGGGATGGGAGGGAGAATTCCCTGTCCAGCCTGGCCTTGTATCCTTGGTTTTCTTTTTTACACATCCCAGGATTTTCTCCTGGAGCCTCAGCGCTGAGAAATCCCTGTTAGGTTTGGGATGTGAGAATTCCCTCCTTGTATCCTTGGTTTTCCCTTTTCCACATCCCCAGGTTTTCTCCTGGAATCTGAGCACTGAGAAATCCATTTTAGCTTGGAATGAGGAGAATTCCCTGTCCAGCCTGGTCTCGTATCCTTGGTTTTCCCCTGTCCTAATCCCAGGATTTTCTCCTGGAGCCTCAGCCCTGACAAATCCCTGTTAACTTTGGGATGAGGAGAATCCCCCAGGAGCAAGAGGCCACATCCTGCTTGTGAGAACCAGAAAACTTGGGAAGAGATGCCTAAAATGGGGAGATAACGATTTGGAACCCTTAGAGAACCAGAAAACTTGGGAAGAGATGCCTAAAACGGGGAGATAACGATTTGGAACCCTTTGAGAACCAGAAAACTTGGGAAGAGATGCCTAAAACGGGGAGATAACGATTTGGAATCCACAGGATGTGCTTGCTTCGATGCCTTTGGCTTCGCTGCTCCCTCCATTGAAATCCAGGGAATTCGGGGCAGTTCCCCTTGCTGGGAGTTTGGGCTGGACACGGGGACTGTTGCTGTTGGCTGATCCTGAGGGATCTTTTCCCGTTTTTCCAGCTGATCCTGGCCATGGAGGAGCTGAGGCAGTGCCGGCTGCAGCAGAGGAACATCTCGGCCACGGTGGATAAGCTCACGCTGTGTCTCCCCGGTGAGCGCCTCCCCTCGCTCCCCACGGCAGCTCCTGCCCGGAATTCCCGGGATTTCCCTTCCTTTTCGGAGCTGTTTGCATTCCCAGCTGCCTGCTCCTGTCTCAGAGCTGTGTTTTCCTTCTTTTCCCAGTGCTGGAGATGTACAGCAAGCTGCGGGAGCAGATGAAATCCAAGAGGTAAATTTGGATTTGCCGTTCAGGGGTTTTATGGGAAGAATCCAAGGAATTGTTTGGTGCTGGATAATTTAAGGAGAACCCCAGTGGTTCAAAGCCAGCCTTTCCAGGTGAAATTCCTGGCTTTTGGCTGCTTTTCCTGCCCAGCCTCCTGTGGTACAGCTGGGGATTGGGATGGCAGCAGGTTCCAGTTTTGGGAATTAAGGTTTTTTATGGAATTCCTTGGTTTTTTATGGAAGCTGAATTTGGTGCAACCAACGCATGTGACCCGACTGAATTTTATTCCATGAACACCACAAAGTGTCTGAGAAATTCCAGGGATTCCAGGGAATGTGGGGGGAACATTCCAGGTGGAAGTTGGGGAGAAAACTTCTTTTGCCATAGAAATAATTCCTGACCGCTTGGTGCCTTGGGAATTCCGGGCTGCAAATCCAGGGATTTCCTCGCCCTGCACCTGCTGGGATGCTGAGGGATGAAAATCCGGGATGTTGGCAGGAATCCTGGTTGGTGTGAGCAGCACAGAGCGATTTTGGAGCCCTGGGGGTGCCAAACCGGGCATGGAGCAGCTGCTGGAAGGGGCTGGAAAAGCAATCCCAGCCCTGCTCTGGGATTCCCAGGAGCTCCTGGCTCTTCCCAGGCCACTCCAGGGTAGGGATGGGCTCTCCAAATGTCCCGGGGCAGATGTGGGGTGGGAGCTGGAGCTGATCCCTGGGAATTCCTGTAGGGAATCCACAGCTGCTCCATTTCCAGGGATGCAGCTGGGAACTGCATCCCTTCTTTCCTTCCCCTTTTTGGATTGGTTCATTTAGGAACAAATCCATGCTGAAAGCTACATTTAAGGAATATTGGGAGCCTTGGCTGGATTTTTTCCCATTTTTTTTCAGTCTGGATTTGATGTCTGCAGACACAGCACAAGATATTCCATGTTTTTTGTCTGCTCCAGGTCTCACTTGGATCATTCCAGGATGGGCAGGGCTGGATCCTGACATCAGGGCTGGGTTTGGGATTGGTTTGGTTTGTTTGGGGAATAAACTCCCCAGGCAGGAGGAATCTGGGGATGTTTCCAAACCAGATCAGGCATTTCCCAAACGGAGAATCCATGGCCAGGAGCTGATCCCAGAGGAATGATCAGGGTGGACAGAGAGGATTTCTCTGCCAGAATTTAAGGAATATTGGGAGCCTTGGCTGGATTTTTTCCCATTTTTTTTCAGTCTGGATTTGATGTCTGCAGACACAGCACAAGATATTCCATGTTTTTTGTCTGCTCCAGGTCTCACTTGGATCATTCCAGGATGGGCAGGGCTGGATCCTGACATCAGGGCTGGGTTTGGGATTGGTTTGGTTTGTTTGGGGAATAAACTCCCCAGGCAGGAGGAATCTGGGGATGTTTCCAAACCAGATCAGGCATTTCCCAAACGGAGAATCCATGGCCAGGAGCTGATCCCAGAGGAATGATCAGGGTGGACAGAGAGGATTTCTCTGCCAGAATTTAAGGAAGGGGCAGGAAAGCTTTTCTGCCATGGCTGAGATGTGTGGAAAATGGTGGGAAACTCCAAGATTTCTGGTTCCAGGGATCCCTGCAGGGCTCTGGAGACCTTTTTGTTTTCCCCTGGATCTGAGTGAGAAATGGAACCAGGAAATCCTGGAATGGTTTGGGCTGGAGGAGAGC